TATCAATTATATTGAGTTATAGATGAGTAGGTATATCAAAAGTATACCGAGATTTACAAGTAGATTTACAAGATTTACAAGAAGAATATTTGACTATACATAGTATAATGTTAAAGTAAGAAATAATTTATAAATAAATGATAAAATAATTTCTAGCTAGAAACAAATTTTTTCATTTATTATTAATATTTGGTAACTGGTATGATATTATAGCACGATATTTAATCTCCTTATAAATTATTATTTATCTCCCACCACAACTCTTTTTAATGACCACTCAATAAACGATTTATAGTTCATATTGTAAATATGTCATTATAACAACTTGAAAAACTCTTATAACACCGCCATTTTTACAAAAGCTTTTTACAAAAACTAATAGCCCTCGACAAATATGTATTTTCTAATCAACCGTAATTACCGATGAATTGAGATATTAGCATCATCGGAAACCAACTCGTTGACAAAAACTTCAATTGCTAATTCCTTATTAGTTTTGCAAACAACTAGGAAGCAGTTAGTTTTATTCGCGTTCTGTGTACGGTGGTTATTAGCCAGCCGATAGCCTTTTACCAGTATTTTTTCAACTAATTTGCAATCCAATGAATAAATTAAAGTATTGCTAATGAACGCCGGTTAATTGCCATCTGTCAGATGCCATAAAGCGTTTTAAAAACGCATTTAAATTTTTAACCGATCTCCTAACTAGCAATGATTGTTTTTTATGCGCCATTTGCTAACAATACTAAATAGAGAATATACAGTAGACCAAAAAAGTATTCGTACAGTTGCATTATGTTCTGGAAGTCCGCGTTCAGTAAACAGAAACAAGAAGTAACTAGCAAATTAAAATCTACATTTCAAGACTATTCTTGCAATCATTAATTAACATTGTTATTAAAAATGTAAAATAAAAAAAAACGAAAAATGTTTGCATTATCCCCAAAATAAGTATTCGTACAGCAACGTTTTATCAATTTCTTCACTCTGTAGACATTAAATTGTTTATTGTTTTCGCCGGTATATTAGTATTAGGTTGAGCTCCTAGTTCTGTTTTCAAAATAATTCAAGTTTACCTTAAAATGCCTAGAAAAACTGAAGAAATAGATGGTGACTTAAAAAAGTCATCATCCATCATTTTATAGAAGGAAAATAATATAAGGAGATAGGTAAAATTGTTCAAAAAACACATATTACAGTTCAGTACATTGTGAAAAAATATAAATCTACTGGTTCCGTGGAAAATAAGTCAAGATCGGGAGGTACTGCCAAGTTAACTCAACGAGATCAGAATTTCATTTATCAAAAAGTTAAAAAAATTCCCTTTGTAAGTGCTCCATACATCGTTTCTGAACTGGAATCCAGTACATGGCATAAGATCCATCCGGAAACTCTTCGATACCACATTAAGCGATTAGAATATAGAGGAAGAAGACCTGCTAAAAGCCAAGGATAAATAAGAAAAATCGAAAGCTAAGAGTGGAGTTTGCTAAGCGTTACATTAATAAACGTTTAGAGTTCTGGAACCAGGTTATATTGTCAGATGAGAGTAAGTATAACATTTTTGGATCGAATGGAGTCAAATCTGCCTGTTAATTGTTTTTTCATTTGTATATTTATTAAACGGGTAATTACACGTATAATGATTATAATACGAGTGTACGAATACTTTTTTGGTATACTGTAGATATTTTTGTATAGAAAGTTATGAGAAAACTGATGGCTAAGTTAATACGTCAATTATAAGTGGGTTTATTATTAGTTATACCAATAACTATAGCTGTTTCTGTAAATGATTTTTTTTATAAAATTATTAGCATTGCAATTCCTATTAAGTAATTTACATTAAAAAGATAGAATGGATTTATAATGTAATATAAACACTTGTAAAAAATATCAACAAGTTTTTGTAGCGATATAAAAACTCAACAATACCATACTGGTAAACAAACAATAAATTAATGTTTTTAATAAAAAAAACGTATCTCGATTTTCGACCTATATCAACATCTGAATCGTTAATTTTTGCTTTTTTTTGGTATTACTTAATAATGTATGCAGAGTGGAGGTGTTTAACATTGTTTACGGATCGAATACGCTACATCGAGGAAAGGAACAAGTTCAAGGAAACACTCCACTTTTTCGTACGTTGTTATGAGATTCGAATTTTTAAGGTTAACGTTAAATTAAAATAAAATTAACATTTTGATGCGGATAGAACGCTGTAGGCTCGAATATTTAACTGTTTTAATGCCGATGCAAAAGCAACCACGAAGAAACCATATGGAATATTAAGTTGCGAATTTCAAATTTCGTGTTTATTTTTAGAAATTTATGCTGAACGTTTCGTTTTTGCATATTTTTTTAGTATTATAAATAACAGTATTGTTGATTTATGAGTTTTGGAAAAAATTTAGTTTATTCCAAACGATTGGTATAACTAACGAAATAAAGGTCGATTAACATAGTAAATATAATTAAATTAAATTAACAATAGGGATGCAAAACTTTGGCGAATTCCATCCTCTTAGAATTAAGAGGATTTATTAAACCAATTTATTGAAGTCGAAAAAGTTTACAAATCACGTTAAAAATTGTAATAAAATGGCCATCAAATAAGAGATTTGGTGAGAGAGATGTTATAAAAATAAAAAAAAATAATGATCCATAGGTTACCCCAGTATATTAACGCTAGGATTAAATTAAGCAAATAACATCAGGAGGGGTAAAAATCAAAACATCAAGGGTGAGTGAGAATCAAAACCTTCTAACGTTGATACAAAAAATATAATAAAAAATGACGAATTCCCTATTTCAGGTTCGATGGCGCCTGTGTTAAGTCGAATATTAAAATTCCTCCGAAAAACTAGCTCAGTCGAATTCGATTTATTGCCAAAATTAATTAAAAGAAACCAGTCGAAGTTGCCACGACGTTTTGGCAAAAAAGCGTCGTTTTTTATCAAACGAAATGCTTCCGAGTTCGATTTGTGTGTGTAACTTCGAAATTTTCGATAATAAAACTAGATGAAGACCGCCTTTCACTAACGGTTCTCGTTTTATTAATAATATCGATTGGATGCATTCACCGTTAATTGAAAATATATATTAAGGATATGCTATAGATTTTTTTTTATTTAGCGCATATTTACTCGGACATTGGATTACCTGTGTTAAGCGGCACACGACGTGTTAATAATAATTCAAGCATTTTATGTTACATTACTTAGATTAAAAGCATTTTACATGTTAAATACTGCAATTATCAAATCTTTTAATAACAAAGTAAGTTTTGGTTAATATAGTATACCAAAGTAAAACAAAAATTCGTGTATATTTTTGTTAATTAACAACATTATTTTAATTGAAATAAAATTTGCATTGAAACAAATAACTATTATATCCAGTTTCTTGGATATACTTGAGTGTTTTATGTAAATTTTGCACAATAAATCATAAAAATTTAACGATTCAACCTTAAACGGACACCATGGCAACAGTATCTGTTGCCATCATCATTTTGAATATAATATAATATAAAATTATAATTACGTTAATATTTTAAATCCTGGAAGTGTATACAGCAATTAAACGAATTTTAAAATATTCAAATCCCAAATTTGATTTTTTTTATTAATTACCCGCCATGACCGAGACCGAAGTTGTTTCATAAATTAATTCTAATTACAGTCAATTAAGATTCGAGATTAAGCACATTTCAAATTCACATATCAAGTTAGACCGCTTCGCGGAGATGTTGACATTTAAAGCTTTTATACATACATATTCATGCGGAATAAGAAAACAGGAACCATGACCTTGCTTATGATATAACGAACTAACCTAGAGCGATACAATTCCTGCTAAGTCGTACACTGAACGAAGCACTGGACTCATTTTTACTACGCAAGTGCGTATGAACATTCATTTATACCGTATTTCCCTTACGAAATGCTTTATTTAACATTGGCAATGTGCTTTTAGAGCTTTTTATTGAGCTACGATGAGCAACAAATGATGGTTAAAATTTACAGAATATTTTCCCAATAATCCATCCTACGGATATTTTAAAATGTAATCGATCCTCGCAGGCTCATCGAATGTTCCTTTACACTGTCTAATAGCCCATAATCTCGCCCACAAATAGATCAATACACTTCCAATCCCAACCAGTTCTTTTGTTCTAGTCCGACCTTCGAATCTCAATCTCGACAAATGTGAACAACTCGGAACGACGTAAATACCGGCCTGATTTAATTAAATTATTATATAAAGTAAGAGCAAGTTCAACTGAGATATTTAAAATTGAAAGCGGACGCGCAGAGACCGGCTTTCCATTCACGACCGAGATCGCTTCCAACGATATAATGAAGAGGATCGCGATTTTTCAAACTTAATGGATATCGGCTATATTAAAAATATTTATATCAAACGGGAAATTCTGTTAATAAAATTTAGCACAGTCGCTTATTAATCTTATTACATAGGGCGATTCAGTGGATCTTGCGCCCTTTATACGAGTAACAGCGCTAATTTTTAGTAAGGCTGGACCTGGATTTTATAATTTTTATTAACCACTAAAGAAATGTGATGAAGGTGATGAAAAACACCCTGTAAATTGGTTATGAAAGGGCACAAGACCCATACCATCCTCTTGAAGGGTTAAATTGTTGCCCTTTCCTGTAAAGGTCATTCCTCATGGATTCCCCATTAACATAGAAAAAATGAGTTAAGCACAAGAGAATGATACAAAATAGTCATTATTGCTCCATTTTTTGTAGAAAAAAAATCCTTTTCGAAAACAACAGCCATGCGCATTTATAACGAAGATGAAAAAAGATTCTTGTAAAATTACAAATGTGAGTTGAAAAAGTTGTTTTCGTTTAGTAATATCCTTATTCAGTTACTTCAATAGGTTCTGTTTTGTAACCTCAATAGATCATGCAAAAGTTTCATCTACTCCTTTTTTAGTTCCTTCTTTAGATTCTTCTTTAGACCTTTCCTTAGATACTTTTTAGATCCTTCTTTAGATCCTTTTTTAAATCCTTCTTTAGATCCTTCATTGGCTCCTTCATTAGCTCCTTCATTAGCTCCTTCATTAGCTCCTTCATTAGCTCCTTCATTAGCTCCTTCATTAGCTCCTTCATTAGCTCCTTCATTAGCTCCTTCATTAGCTCCTTCATTGGCTCCTTTATTAGCTCCTTCATTAGCTTCTTTATTAGCTCCTTCATTAGCTCCTTTATTAGCTCCTTCATTAGCTCCTTCATTAGCTCCTTCATTAGCTCCTTAATTAGCTCCTTCATTAGCTCCTTCATTAGCTCCTTAATTAGCTCCTTCATTAGCTCCTTCATTAGCTCCTTCATTAGCTCCTTCATTAGCTCCTTCATTACCTTCATTACCTCCTTATTAAAAATATTTATATCAAACGGGAAATTCTGTTAATAAAATTTAGGACAGTCGCTTATTAATCTAATTACATAGGGCGATTCAGTGGATCTTGCGCCCTTTATACGAGTAACAGCGCTAATTTTTAGTAAGGCTGGACCTGGATTTTATAATTTTTATTAACCACTAAAGAAATGTGATGAAGGTGATGAAAAACACCCTGTAAATTAGTTATAAAAGGGCGCAAGACCCATACCATCCTCTTGAAGGGTTAAATTGTTGCCCTTTCCTGTAAAGGTCATTCCGCATAGATTCCCCATTAACATAGAAAAAATGAGTTAAGCACAAGAGAATGATACAAAATAGTCATTATTGCAGTAAACACCAGCACCGATTAGGGAGATTCCCATTCCCATTTCCAGGCCAGGTGGATCCTCTCGCGAGTACCGCGGGCGAAGGAAGACGAAAGAACGAGAGCGAGTGCGAAAAACGAAACAAAAAGCGACGAAAACGAAAAGGCTACACCTTAATGAAGCCCGGCTACCGAGAGGAAATCGCCTTCGAACGGACGGGTTCTTCATTACTATCTTTGCATGCTTCTTTCGCTGGCAAATTACGAGGTCGGAGGAGTTTTTCAAACGGGTTGGCTGTGTTATTACGGCGCAAAAGTGCAGTTTATCGGTTTTATGGTTGCGCTACTTGTTTTCCGACGTAAAAATTGATCTAGATTGTCGGAGATTGACGGTGATGGGAATTTTCGGTGTACACTGATGCTTACACCTACCTTAATATCTATACTAATTTAATGATATAACGTAATAAAATATTTTTATCAAACAGACTCCCATACTTAGGTACTAATTTCTGTGTTTCTAAACGCCCTCTTTCGCATTAAAATTAATTACAGCGAGATACGCGCAACCGGGGCCGACGTTGAAGCAAACGCGGTTTTCCTAATTTCTCATCCAAATGAGGCTTAATCATCATTAAGAAAAAGAGGATGAGGTCAATCTTTCGGGCCGAAATCGTCCATCGGAGACCTTAATGTCTTCGTATGGGTTTCGAAATAGACGAAACGTGTACGTACGGCGATTTCGATTTTAATACGAGTGTGGCGTGTCGAGAGCCGAAATTCCACGGAATTCTACATTGTAATTATAGATTTAGAATAAGAATAACGAGATTTGGTCTTAGCTCAAATAGGAGCGCTAATAATATTCTGACATGCAATGATAAATTGAAGGTACGGGTATACAGAAATGGAACAAAAAAAATAAAAATAAATATTAAGCAAGGAGTACCGTCACGGTTGCCCCATTCAAGAACGGACGCGATTATTACTGCATATTTCGGCGGATTTCGGTCGAAAAAAAAACCGTTCTGCAGGTGTGTGCAGAATCCGATTTAATGATATATTTAGCCTTCCGAAATCTTTTATTACTGCTGGAGCATGTATTGGTCAGTATTGATTTATTTCAACGCTCCATTTTTTGTAGAAAAAAAAATCCTTTTCGAAAACAACAGCCATGCGCATTTATAACAAAGATTGAAGAAGATTCTTGTCAAATTACAAATGTGAGTTGAAAAAGTTGTTTTCGTTTAATATCCTTTTTCAGTTACTTTAATAGGTCCTTTTTTGTAACTTCAATAGATCATGCAAAAGTTTCATCTACTCCTTCATTAGCTCCTTCTTTAGCTCCTTCGTTACCTCCTTCATTAGCACCTTCATTAGCTCCTTCATTAGCCCCCTCATTAGCTTCTTCGTTAGCTCCTTCATTAGCTCCTTTATTAGCTCCTTCATTAGCTCCTTCATTAGCTCCTTCATTAGCTCCTTCATTAGCTCCTTCATTAGCTCCTTCATTAGCTCCTTCATTAGCTCCTTCATTAGCTCCTTCATTAGCTCCTTCATTAGCTCCTTCATTAGCTCCTTCATTAGCTCCTTCATTAGCTCCTTCATTAGCTCCTTCATTAGCTCCTTCATTAGCTCCTTCATTAGCTCCTTCATTAGCTCCTTCATTAGCTCCTTCATTAGCTCCTTCATTAGCTTCTTCATTAGCTCCTTCATTACCTCCTTCATTAGCACCTTCATTAGCTCCTTCATTAGCCCCCTCATTAGCTCCTTCGTTAGCTCCTTCTTTACCTCCTTCATTAGCACCTTCATTAGCTCCTTCATTAGCCCCCTCATTAGCTCCTTCATCAGCTTCTTTATTAGCTCCTTCATTAGCACCTTCATTAGCACCTTCATTAGGTCCTTCTTTAGCTCATTTATGCTTCTCATTATTCTTCAAAGAGGTACACATTTTTTCAATAATATCCTAAACAATTAAGTTCTTTTCTCTCTACTTTTGTACGGTTTGCATGTTATAAATTCTTATAGGTCTACCCTAATGATACCACAACAATATAGATTTAGGTACCTATTTGTTGATGGAACTGTAGGTTTAGGATTTTTTTATTCGATGAATAAAATTGGGTCTATATACTAATTAATAAACTTCAAACATCGAGATGATCGCGTTGGGAATGACGATAAGGTCCTTTCAAAGCGAACTGCCTGCTGGAAATTCGGCTATCCGAATGTTTATTTTTCATTCGCCTCGAAAACTGAGTAATGCTCGGATAAACCCACAAAATGAAACGCATTACGCTCTAGTTAAGGAGATGTCAATATTAATCACGTCAATTTCGGCTCTTTTTTTGTATTTTACGGTCGAAGCGGTGGATAAAATTTTTTCAGTCGAAGAAGGGTCAATCTCGAAGAACCGACCTTTAGGGTTTAAATAATCTAGTTCGTTAGCTCAACTCATTTAGCGTAATTTATAGATAATTATTTATTTTTATTGACTATAAAATCTTTTAAATCCATTCGAATACCTACGCAGAGGCAAAAACCAGAATGGAGATTAAACAAAAATCGTAAAATCCACAAAATAAAACGAATGTATTTTTTTTAATATTAAATAATCAAAATTTCAACGACCTGCGTTAACTTCTGAATCGATTATGGATTATTAAACCGCAATAAAAGAACCAACCCCTTGAATTTTCGAGCGCCCCCGATTCCGGCATCAGCTGGCCCCCACAAGTACAGCACGCGGAAATATTTAACCCGAAAATCAACATCGCACAAAAACCCAATACAATAGGCATTGTCCGCTAAAATAGATCACATCTTTATCGAGTATGCCAAAACGAATTTTCCGTAGTCGGGCGCCCTTATAGCGAGGCGTTCAGCTATCTAACGCGCTGTAAATTCAATGTGAATCGGGGTGAAACGTGCGCCTGTCGGTATTGTATCGGAAATAATCGAAGGGTTATTTCGCAACCCTTTTTTTTCGGCTACGTTGACAGAATTATTAGTATTGGGTTACAAGATCGGCGATAAGAAGTCGGTTAATATGTGTATTTAGATCCTTATTAGGTCGTTTCTATTATTGGCATTGTGCGTGGCGCAGTCAATAGGATTGCGATTTATTTACTTTGGGGTGTAAGAGAAGATTAAAGGAATTTATAACCCATTGGTAAAATGTTAATTGGTAATATTGAGGCGATTTTATATCGGATTTGTAGACGAACAGAGGGAGAAAGTATGTAATTAATCGCCGTTGTCGGGATATTCGAGTCGGAATTAATCATTTATCGGGCTAACAAAAAATTCATTAGGAAAACGTGTTGTGGGAGATAAGAAATCATCGCGCAGCATCTGTTGATTTTTTCACAAAGCCCATCGACTGACGCACTCCCCCCCACAAAAAACTATCCCTTTCGACGCGGAAAAAAATTATTAGAGACCTTATCAGAGGGCGAACAAATAAAATATGGGTCGAGCAACCACCTGTATTTACCTGACTTTTAATGTTGGAGTATTTTCACTTTCGTTGGTATTTAAAGCGAACAGAAGTGGGTGATGTTGGGATAATAACTCAATAAATATTGAATGTGGGAAAATTATGAAATCGAAAGGGGTAGGCGGGTTTCGGATTTTTGATGGAACATTGAACTTGGAATCAAGACAGACCCTTTTAGTTTACAAATAAATAAATATTAAAAAGCAACGTAAACACTAACTTATAAAATGTATTTAGATCATTATTATTAATAGATATACAGTGTGTCTCATAAGTTGATATTTTTTTTTAATTGCGTAATAGATCTTTTAATTCTAAGCAACTTCTTCAAGTAAAATTTTTTAATATTTTGGAAAATAAAAAAGATGGAAATTTTTAAAATTTCTTTAAATTTCGAATATTTTCAAATACGAACCTTTCAAACTACCATTACCATACAGGTGTCAAAAAAATAATAAATAATTAATGACAAAAAAATAATTTTTCGATTGTTGAATTGAAAATGGCCCATCTTTATAGAAATAATGAATTGGTGGACATGCTGATTATTTGTGGAGAGTGTTTCCAAAGCATTTCCAATCAAAATGGCGACAATTTTGAGCAGTTCCTTTAACTTTTAATGAACAGGGCCGTATTAAAATTTTAATAATTAAAAATGAAAAATGAAAAAAAACATGCTCTCTTATTTTCCTGAATATTAAAAAAAATTTACTTGAAGAAGTTGCTTAGAATTAAAAGATCTATACACAGTTAAAAAAAAGGATGAACTTATGAGACATCCTGAATACAGGGTGTTTTTTAATAACATGCTAGTACTGAAGGGGATGTTTTTGGACCCATTTTAAGAAAAAACTTGAAGAAACGGTGAGTCGTAAGAAAAAAAAATCAAGAAATCAAATTCATTGAAATTGAACGGGGCGTCCAAAAATAATTTTTATTTCAAGAGAAAGGAGTGGGGTACCACTTTTACCCTTAAAAACCTTTTTTTAAGTAAAAAAATGCTCTTTAATGCATAAACGCCCTACACCAAATTTCATAAAAATATTTCAAGTGGTATGGAAATGACAGTAAAAAACGATTATTTTAAAACTTTAACACCCTATATCTCGAAAGTTTAGGACATAGATTTAGGACTATTTCGAGGTTTAGGACATAGATTCAAAGTTTTTTTTTAAATGGGCCCTTTTTCTTAAAACCACCTTCCTCAGAATACTAAAAATACTAAATTTTTAATTCACGTATACGAATTTAAGTATCCAGTTTTTTTCTAAAAATAAATTCTCACTCTATTCTCTCGAGTAAATTACCTCCATGACCATGTCGAAAGCCGATCATTTTGTATCAGTCTTCAAACCGATCGAAACCCGTAGGGCAACGAAAAACATACCCACATATATAAAATGTCCACAGTTCACTTCCTCTTGTAAGAAACCTTCAGTCTCTCTGACCATTCATCTTGGGAATCTCATTTCATACCGATTAAACTCCAACCCTACTATTCCAACATTCGAATACGAGGGGAGATCGATTAATTATTCAAAAAATTTGACCGTAAGAACATGATGAATTTAATTTCACTTCGAATTGATTCTAGGTGTATCGTACGTGAGTAAATTTTAAAAAGAACGAATTAATTTACCATTGGCAAATTTAAGAAACTTTTAATCTTCTGTCATCCGACAATTTAACCCTCTTGATACGCACATATATCACGTTGAGACGTTCCTTCCAGCTCGGTCTATTATTTTGTTGTCCCTTGTATATCAAAATACAAAAGGTCCCATAGTAAACAGCGAGAGAGCACTGTTTGTGATCGGACGCTGCGTTTAATGCAGACTCAATTATTAGGTAAGATCAGGTAGACGGGCCTTTTTTTATCCCATGGCGAGCAGGTAAAAAAACCGAAAGTTCATTTCGGAAAAGTTGACCGCGCCACCGTAGAAAATGTTGTGTGTTGAAATTTATCGGTTTCTAAGTAGCCGGATATTCGAAAATTATTAGTCGATTTTTTTTTCGAAAGAGCGTACGTTTCGTGAAATATTACACCCCTTTCTTTTAGCGTTTCGTCACGGGGATGATTCGGAAACGGAGCCGATTAAAAGAACATATTTTAGGGTTTTACGAGGATGATTCGGGATTTATTGATAGGGGATGCTTTTTAGTTACAAATACAATCATTTTGGGGTTGAAGTGTACTGTTTTGTTCGATCCTCTTTGTTAGTTATTTGATGTTTTAATAGAGAATTTAATCGATAATTTGATTGATTAAAAAATTGTTCAAGTAACTAAATTAATAAGTTGATATGGTAACAAAAAGTAGTAAGAGTTTCGATAAAATAAATAGTTTAGAGTGCGATTGGATAGTATTAATCATGTTGAGTTACAATTTTTTTACAATCTCATTGCTTTTGTGTATACAAAAGACAGTCGATAACGATCGAACGTTATCCGTGAAATAAACAAGACAAAAAAAAAATAAAGAAAAAAATCGTCAATCACGACGAGCAGAACGGACAAGCATGTGGGACAAGCACAAACAACGGAATCGATCGAAAGAAAGCTCCAGTTCTGCCCGCTTTTAAAAACGAAAGTGTCCCAGAGAGAAACGAGATCAAAATCTGCTCCTATTCATTAAAATGCCTCGACGCAGCGATCGGTTTTCAAGGTCTCGCAGACATCACCTTCTCGGTTTTCCATCCCCCGACGACGGGTCGCGGCGTCGCCCTCTCGCGCGTTCGCTCGCTTCTCGTTTCTCGCCGCCCCTGCTCGTCTGGGGACGGGACGGGACGGGACGGCGTTGGCGGCGACGGAGGCTGCCGAACTCGCCCTGACCACCCCTGGCCCAAGGAGTATGTTATTGTGACGCTCCCTGACCTTGTACATACAGGGTGTTAATTAATTGAAGGCCGATACTTCGGGATGTGATTATTGGGATGATTTTAAGAAGGAAAATTTATATCAATATACAGGGTGTTTCACAACTTATCCGACAAGTTTTAACCATGCACTGTTACAAGAGAAGTTAATTTCCCAAAAAAAAATGTAATAAGTCTTACAGAAATCGAGATAATAAAATAATAGTTTAACAGTTCAATTACTTATACAAGATGTTCAAAATTGTTCCCATTTACTGCAATGCAAGCTTGGGTGCTTTTTTTTTGTTTTAACCATTGTTTTGGTGCAACATTTGCTACAGTAAAGTATTAAGGCAAAATTATGAACGTAAAATGCAGTATTTATTTTTCAATTTTTTATTGAAACTCGGGTTTATAATTTTATTTCTGTACGACTTTTATTACATTTTTTTTTTGAGAAATCAACTTCTCTCTCTTTGAGAAATCTCAAACAGTGCATATGTGGTTAAAATTTGTCGGATAAGTTGTGAAACACCCTGTATGTCCTAAACCTCTTACTTTTCGAGATACAGGGTGTTAGAGTTTTAGAAAAAAAATAACTTTTCTATCAGAATTTTCTTATTACTCCAGATATTTTTATGAAATTTCGGATGTGGTCTCGCCTCAAAAAATGCTCCCTAATAATTAAAAATTGTATACAAAATTTCATAAAAGCATCTGGAATAATAAGAAAATTATTATAGAAAAGTTATTTTTTTTTCTAAAACTGTAACACCCTGTAGCTCAAAAACTAAGAGGTTAAGGACATATAATTGATATAAACTTTCCTTCTTAAAATCATCCAAATATTCATATCCTGAAGTATCCCTACTCAATTAATTAACACCCTGTATTTATACATTGATAACTTTTGGAAAAATTTAAGTTGAAAAGTTTTTTTTATAAATTCTTTTTGCCCTCGTCACTTCCTACCCATAAGTATTTGTGAGATGGTTAATAATTGATTAGAAAAGTACGTTATATTTAAATTCAACATCGTGCAGCTCGCGCAGATGAGCAATAATAATAAATGGTTATGCCCACAGATAAAAAAATTGAATTCGTTGCCCGGTATAGAAAAAAAGAACATCTTGTAAGTGTGCTCTTCGAGCACTTTTTTGTCCCTTCATCCCCCTTTGTCCGTTGTCCGTAAAACAAGCCAGAAAAAATTCTTATATCCTGTCCTAATTACCGCAGGAAAAAACCGAACGTATTCACCCCTTGCATAATGAGACGGGCGAAGGACGTAAAAACGCACCACCTGTACACGAAAAAAAAAATGTATCCCCGATAGATTCACTTTTACTTTTTATATAAATCACAATACTAACACATGTTACCCTCGCCCACACCCCCTAAATCTCGAGATTGTTTACGTTCGAGCTTTCGAGCACCCGCATGCCTTACAGTCGCCCATACAAGTAATTATTCTCCCGTCGAAAAATTGGAGCCCTAGGTAAGCGTTGTTCTTTAGAAATCCGTCGAAATCGTAATTAATCGAAAATTGTTATAATATAATCGAGGTAGCGCAGACAATCGACGGGCCCCGTAGGATGTAAAACAAAGTGACTATCTGGTCTGGTCGATCCGATGAGAGAGCTCCTAGACCGTGTGAACTCTTCGTCTAGGGATGTTGGATGGATCATGTGTTACGCACACCATACGGTCGAAGGGGAAAGGGGGTGCACCAAAACCAGAAACCCGACTTTAATGATCTACGAATAAATCAGAACGCTAGAAAGTGAAATTATTTGAATATTAAAAAGTCAGGTAAATACAGGTGGTTGGTTCCGTAGCCTAGATAGTTTTTTTTTTGTTTTCCGCTTTGATTTTTTTTCTTTCTATTCATTCGGTATCGAAATTTTTTGTGCATTTCGTTTATGGGTTTTGTTATGCACGTCTTGGATAATAATAATCGGCAGATGTTGCTGCATTAGGGATTTTATTTCGACTTTATATTACTCGTACGAGTTGAGTGGAAATAAATTATATGTCATCAATGATGGAATAAAGGGAAAGTAAAATTCTAACGACGAATTTTCAGTCAGTCTATCATAAGAACGTATACGAAACATTAAGGAATTGAGATAAGATCCCGCGAAATGGATCAAAACGAGAAAATAATTGAAGGAATTATAAATTCATTGTAAAGAATTAACCCACCAGGTAAATGTCGTTCATTATTAGGTATTTTAATTAGCCAACACTTCTGAGTAGACAAAAAAGTAACGTCCACGAGACCTACTGGTTTTTAAGCGGTTTTTTTTATTGACCTACTACTGTGAACAGAAGAAAAAAACAATAAATATGACAGATTGCGTTGTAAGTTAACACCTTTTTTTGTGCACTTTTTTGTTGGTCGGGTTCTTATTATAGATGTACCTTTTTTGCCGTACTACAACGTGATTCATGCGTTCACTTGCATTTCTTGTATCTTACAGAACCGGAATAAGCTTTTTTTGGAGCAGTTTTGAGGCACATTCGTTTTATCCTAAATTACTAATATTTTGCATTATAATCCCAATTAAAATATAACAAATTTTTAATTCTGTATGATATGTATTTATGTTAACAATTGAATGAAGTTTTTATTAACACTGTAGAAATAATAAAATTAGCATTTTCTGGTCCGATCCTGTTAAAAGAATGTTATTTATTCTTGCGGTTTGTTACTGTTATAGAAAGACTTCCAATGATAAAGAACCAATTTAGCGTTTTTTCGTACTCACATCGTTACACTAACAGACGAAATTACACACCAGCCATGTTATTTTCTGCCGTAAGGAGGAAATAATTACGATTTCTTGCTTAATGGCATAAAGTAAAAGTACCAAAAAATACGTGAGCTATTATTTTCCTTTAATAGAATGCGCTAAGCCGTTAGATGTCAAGATCTCGCAGCTAACGAAAAAAAAATATATATTAGTCAAGTGATGCGTGAAGTTACATAGTTGTAGGTATTGTGGTGTAGATTAAAACGAAATCAGAATTTCAGAAATACCACGGGTCACGACATTAACCAATTTCATCACGACGGAGTTTCTTTAGTACTTCAAAATGTGTATTTATAGTATACAAATATTGGAGGTTTATTGACAATTTATCAGTAAAATATTCAATGCATCGAACCGGTGCATTTTTTTTATCGCCGGCTTTCAAAACCGCCGCTCTAGTGGCGCGTTTGTTATTAAAATCGAAAGATTAATTACTTCAATGCCTCTATTGATACCCACGATTCTTCTGGTTCCTCTCACAAAGGCAACATGCTAACTAGATCACACCAAAAACCCTTTAACCCTCTTTGCTCCATTGTGCAACCAGCTATTCAACGATTCTAAATATTTATCGCTTATCAATATTAATGATCTTGTAATATTGACAAATCTATTTGGCTTCGAAAGGGAGTGCATTTACAATAGAAATAAAATCGGCAACTGTCGAATGGTTTGAGGGGCCCAATTAAAACGAATGCATTCGAAGAATCGATATCGCCCTGATGTGCGCTCTAACAAATCGACCCCGTTGACAGGGCGTAGAAATGTGGAAGGTGTTCGGGAAGGTCGCGAAGACATAGGTAAAGAAAGGATCTTCGACCATTTATCGACACTTTCAAAAAACGCGTTGAGCATTATGTCAGGTGTTGCGGGGACAAGCAACAATGGCTAAACGAGGTTAACTACCTTTGGGAAGCGGTTCTAATCTTCCAATCTCTATCATTATTTTATATTGAATAATACGGGACCTATCGCTAGGCGAAATCTGAGATGGGATAAATAATTCATATTCTTTTATACATATAGTGATTTTATTTGCTTTTTTGATTAAATATGCCCCAAAACAAGATTTGTTTCTGTTGCTGTATCAGTTCGTAATGTCACTAATAACTTCTCTATATGCTACTATAAATACAGAGTGTCTTGTAATTAATTTATAATTTTGTAACATTTTTAAATCGCAAATCCGACCAGTTATTAAATAATATCGAACCGGACAATCCCGATTTCGGGCCCATTGTCTCGGGAAGTTTTCTTACACTGCCTCTACCTTATTCGTTCGCATGTGGGAGTCGAAATTGTTGTGTAATTACGATATAAAACCACGTTCCCTCCTCTATAATTTACTGGTAGAGGCCCCTTAAAGGTCGTCGGTTCGGTTCCGAAAAATTGAGAAGAGATCTCGCTCTTCGATGAGCAATTTACGACCACGTTAAAACACAAGTACCTACTACACGTATTAGGTAGCGAAAAATTAAGCAGATAATAATGATATGGCAAGTGCTGTACAGGGTGATTCAGATTTTATTTGGATAACTTTGGGAGTTGATAGAACTTGTTAAAATTATGTTAGTTCGAAATGTATTTTTTTAAATCTCTTAGTTTGGGAATTACAAGGTATTGAAGTTTTGATTCAGTATTCAGATTTTTTTATATGATTCTTTTGAAGTTTTTATTTACAAATAATTGAAAAATGTTTAATTTCGTATTTGAGTTTTCATGGCATACTATTAATGCTTGCAACTGGGTAGAGCATTGGCTCAAATTTCATAAAATATCTCAAGAACGGAGCATAATTACAAAAAATTACAATAAAAATAGTTTAAAATCGATCAAAGTATAGACCTAAATAGTTATTACCATTAGAAATTTTTATTTGTAAAAGTTTTGAAAAACTTTAAGGAAGGGTAGCACCTAAAGACCCACTCAAGAAAGAGTGGGTCGTTTCATACTTTGAAGGGTTATATGCAGAATGATCAGAAGTGTTTCGGTGTTAAATTTGAACTAAATCGGGGGAAAAATCGGAGAGATTTGAGATAAATTTGAGATAAATCGGAAAAACTAAGAGGTTTTTGATAAAAATTTATATTACGAACTAACATTATTTTCACATGTTCTATCAACTCCCGAAATTAACCATCAGATAAAATCTGATTCACTCTGTAAAAATTGTGAATAATTGAGGTGTACAAGTAAATGTATGTATAATGGGTAAATACTTAATTCGAAATATAGAATCTTGCATAATGAATAGGCAATAGGATTTCTGATAAGACCGTCAGCATTTAGTCGGACATATCAATATTAGTTCCATTGGATGTAAAATTTTACGCCGCTCTCAGAATCCGACACACACCGTCCCCTAATCGAACTTCCTTGGGAACCGAAACCGAAATGTATCAAAAATAGCTATTTTTCCACTTCCCCGCCTCGCTCGGTCTATTAAGTCCGCGTTTCCGCCGTCTAAAAAAAAAGAAATAGGTACCTCTACGCGTTCTTCCTGTTTAAAAAGAGGGTGCGCGCAAAATTGGTTTTTTCGTGAAACGAGATATTTTTAAAAGTCTCGTACGCCCCCCCGACGTGGGCCGGTAAGAGGGCCGATACTCGACCGTATGAGCGGCCGGCGGTACGGTCGCGATTCGCAGGTACTGCTCGTCGAGATTCGGGCCGATTTCTTCGATGGATCTCGACTACGTCACGTCTAATCTAACGAAGCCTATGGGAAAATACGGCGGCTGGGAGACGTGTCCGATCGCAGCCACCCTTATGAAATAGGTAATACACCTGTTCGGGAGATCACCTTGAAAAAAAATCTCTTTTTGGAGAATCATAGGCGCGCTGAATAACATCCTGTGTGCGTTTCGAGGAAATTTAATTCGATTGACGGTCGAATTCGAATGCTAATTTTTGATAAAATTTGCTCTTTGCGTGTTACTTAATCTCAGTTTAATGGTACTAAAATGAACCATTTTTGTTTTAAAATTCTCTAGACTTCTTCTGAAGCGTATAGTACTTTTGGAAACAAACAATTCACAATTTAATCATATTAGTAATTAATTGGTTAAATAATTTAAATCCGCATCATATAAGTTTAATTAAATCGTATATGGATCCACTATAGGTAATTAAAGTTCAGTTGATTAAGGCACTCCCAATATCAACTTATCTTACAAGAAGCATCAAGTAGGTACTTACTTACCTGTTTTAATTCGTTAGACCTCATTATTATCACAAAACAATCAATAAATTCAAGTACCTATATACCTACGTAAGTTCGGTTTATAATTCAAACCAGCATCCTGTATAATTAAATACCCATATAAATGTCTAAAACCATTCTGCCATAATATATTCAACAAAGATACTTATCCCACTTCTTATATATACGAATAAATAATTTAATAAATACTTGCGCACCCCAATATCTGTCTCGTTCGCCCTCAATGCAGAACTATTGTGAGCCGAGAGGGGTTCGTATTCCACGCTAGGAATTTCGATTATTCCTCAGGAATTCGTCTGGTGGACGTCGATAAGGACGCGATTATTTTTATATCTCGGATGCCGATAAAATAATGTTTTCGGAGGGTTGAAATCGTCCCCGCATTCGAAATTAAAACGCATTAGTGCTATCAGATATGCTAATCATCCTTAGCATCCTAAGCATCCTTAGCATGCCTTATGTACGGGGGCTCGTCGAGGGATCGTTGGAAATTTACTCACCTGAGGGCACATTTTACATTGGTACTTTCTGGGCTGCGGACCGCCGTTCTGCATGCCGCCCATCTTGGTGGCGTTTATGGGCTGGGGGACCACTAGCAGTGCGGGACTCGAACCGGCGACTCCCGGACTCGAACTGCTGGAGGTCGATCTGCCCGAGGTGTATATTCCAGGCGTACCCGTCATGTGGTGGTCTTCCATTCCATATAAACCTATCGAGATCGTTGTTATCTTTTAGTGATTGTAGGTATAAATAATAACAAATAATAGATAAGGCTCAATTTAATAGCATCATTTCTAATCAACCCTTTAGAACTCTAATTTAGAAAATAGAATTTAGAAAATATTTAGAAATAATTTAGAAATAATTGCTCTTAGTCCACTCAAAATGCATAGGTAGTAAATTTGGTTCTTTCATGTTGATGCAAGAAATCTCTTCAAAAGTTCAAAGTTTATGTTTGAGGTCTAACTTCTTCTCTTTCTGAAATAAGTGGTCAAACTTTGGGAGCAAGTAGAGAACCTCAAAATATGGCAAAAAATTAAATGTCATTTTATCTAAATCTCCTTGGTTATCGGTATACATGCAGGGTGTTGAAGATGGACTCTTGAAGAGAGATTTAATTTCATTAATAGCAAAGGTAAAATGATGAAATTTGGTATACATACTAAGCAAATAAAATATCTTACGATGCTATTCAATCGGGTTAAAAAAGTTGTCCAGGGGTCCATATAGGGTCCATAGGGGTCCAGTTGTCCATAAAATTACATACAAAAACTTGCCAATTCGATAAAATGACGTTTAAGTTTTTGTCATATATTTTGAGGTGCTCTACTAGCTCTCAAAGTTAGACCATATATTTCAGAAACTCCCGTTATATAAAGCTATGTTTGATTAAATCACCCTCTTTTAAACCACCTGTATATGATGTACATATGTACACCTGAGTCGCTCAGAGCCAAAGTTTTAAAGTGCCAAAGTATCAATAAAAAAAAAGTGCTGCATATTTTCTAAATTTCAAGTCTACTTGGGCCCAAATGGTTCAAGTGTGCATGCTATATCTATTAGTGAACTAGATGAGCTCATTTGGGCCAATGTGGACTTGAAATTTAGAAAATATGCACATTTTTCCTTTATTGATACCGGTAAATGCAATTTTGCAGTTGGACCACTCTAGCGCTGGGCCACTCATCTCTGCGAAACACCTTGTATAGAGGAAATTTCGATAACATTCATAAAAAAATAATATATATTTTATGGTAATTAGGCGTTATTTAAATTTTCTGAGGTCATCAATACTATAGAGGGTAGATTTAAAGAGATAGCCAAAAATTAGTAGCCCAGCAAATTACTAATGACTAATCTTATTATAAATGTTCGACGGGAACATTTCGAAACGACCAGCAACATGTACAAATCGAAGGCTTTTAATGTATTCAAATCGAAACAACTGGTCAAACAGGAAATCTAACGTGCAGGTTTTTGTTCGTTTTCGGCCGGGCCAAAATATTGCAAGTCGTTTTTTATTCATCTCGACTACCTCCGGGCTGAACTACGACGGGTATCAAGGCCAAATTCAAAACAACACCGATTCCTGATGTACTCGCAGAAAAATATAAATATTTTTTTAATGATGCGTTCAAATTTTGTTGTTGTTTATTAATCGGGAAATAAACTAAAAAAACAATTATGCTCGGTGAAAATTTAACACTAAAATTAACGCAGAAATCCATAAACAAATTAGTAACACAACAGTAGAGAATAAGCACTAGAAACAACAAAACATACAGAAAATACGTGAAAGAATCACTAAAAAAATTAACTGCTAATAATCAAACTAAAACTATTTCAAGAGATTTTTTTTCTTGGTGTAGATAAATTACACGCAAGGAAATTTGATTAATTATTGTCGAGATATCCGCGTGGGTTTTTCGGCGCTGAATTCGGCGTGGAGTTCAAACGTCGCAAATATTTCTCAAATTTCAAAGTCAAAGTCACGTTGAATTAATTTAACCAATTGAATTAATTCGACTTAAGCTGTAATTGAATTGCTTTCGTTTTCGAAACGTACGAGAAATTGCAATTAAAGGCTACTTTTGGCGGTTAATTTGTTACAAGTCGTAACTGTGAAATACAATTAGCTTTATTGGGGTTTGTGATTTTTGAAGATTACTGTCATAGCTGTCGTAGCTACAATTACTTTGATGAAATTTATTAACAAAAATATTTATTGGCTCTTTCGATGCAACTAAGATTTAAGTAAAGTAATTAATATACTTATAGCAGCATCTATTATACTTTAAAGAAATATCTAATTTGTAAGTTTTAATGTAAAATATTTTTTTTAAATGGAAAACTAATAAATATTTAATTCACACACGTTATTGCCGCCTATAATTAGTTAAAAATTAACTTTGACTTATAAGTACGCTTGTCAAGTACTGTTATTACCGATTTCGTAAATAGTTACTTAGAGAAATCTCTAGTATTTTCAATATATCAAAGCGCTGTTGCCAAATATGGCAAAGTTTATTTATATTTACTCATAATCTACTAAAAAAATATTATTTGATCGTAAAAGTTACATTTGAAGCAATTAAAACAAACGTGTTAGTTGAAATACTAGTTAATTTAAATTAAGTAACCAATAAAATTAAGTAGGTATTCTAGCCTTTTAGCTTTAATTACTTTTAAATGAAATCGATTAATAAATTTTTAGCAACATTTTTAATTTATATTTTTTAATAAAAACATATTTGCATAACATAATGAGATAAAATTACGTATAAAAAACTTTAAGGGTAAATGATCAAATTATTTCATTTGGCAACGTCGAAAAGAGTCGTTAGATATACACTTAATGCACGTCGCTCATCGTTAATGTTTCATTTTATACATATGTATGTAGATGTATCCGCATACATTATTGGATGGGTAGATGATGATAAAGACAAGTCCTTTCAGATACGATCGCTCGTTTATTAACCGATCGATGTTTTTATTATGCATTTTAATATCAATTTAATTAACCAGCAGTGTTATGCACGTTAGGATGATGTTTTAAAACCGTTTAAGTAACCGTGAAAATGACCGAGGATTTGTGTAAATCTACAATCTTGATTGACCATCTGTTGCAATTTTTAATAGTAATTGTTTAGCGTATAATTTAGATCTATTAAATTATTTCAATCTGAATTTATAAATTATGCATAATTTCGTTAAATTTCAAAAAGAAAAAAAAGATATAAATTAAATACAAATTATAATATGCAGTTAACAGGTCATGTAGGAAGTTGTAAGATATTTTCCAAAAAAAAGTGAGAAAAATTAAAAAAACGTAACATTCCAATTAACGAAATTGCAATTAACGAAAAAGCAACAATCGAAATAAATTTAAATGGAATAATTTATATTTAAGCAATTACTTGAAAGCACTATGAACGAAACAATACAATTAGGAAATTTTTCTTCGCACAAATTAAGATTAAAATCGCCGAACTTGAAACAGCCGATTATTATTGAAGTCCATGGTCAGGGGCCGCATTAAAAAAAACCACTCTTCAAATTCTTCAACAGCTTTCGTGCACGCGCTGTTGCCTAATTTATCCGGTAATTTTTCCTTGAGAATTCTGATTATAATTAACCTAATTAATGGCAGATTAAATCAGGATACATACAATTAATGATTATAATTCATATTAGGTAAATACGAGCATATTTCAAAAATTTTACCAAACAAATTTATGCCTTTAATGCGTCACAAATAGGAAATAATGCGGATAGAGTTTAAAAAAAGAACCGGAAGACTTTCCTATATCGAAATACCCGTAAAATTTCTATGAAATCCACATAAATTTAAAATTTCTTATTTTCCAGCTAGAAATAATGGCAGTCTCTTACTGGTTAGCAATCTAGGTTTATGTCTACCTAAGAAAAATAAAAATGATAATAAAGGGTGCATCGCAGTTTTTACGGTTGTAGTTGAACATAAATATTTTTTATCGCCTCCGGACGCTTATTTATAGTCCAGACATGAAAACACAATTTTACGACAATCCAGTTTTTATTAGGGGAATCTAATCAACATCACAACAAAAATTAGATATATGAAGATTGAAGAATCAGTTTTTAGGTAATCGGAAAAGCGAAAAATTTTGTTTACATCCAGGGTGGTTCATTTATGCAATTTCTTACAAAACAAAATTCATTCGCATTGTTAAACTAAAGAAAAACTTCAATAAAAATTTTATATAAATGTTGCAAAACTTTGACTGCCAATAGCTTCGATTCCCAATAATCGAAGTTAGTATAGATACGATGATATGAAGTTCACTAACCTTTTTGCATTTGATTGTGCTCGTTCATCTTGGACTCGTACCCTTGTTTGTTGATTCCCATGGTGTTCCTCGTCCAATTGGGGTAGTCGTCCTTCCCGTGCTGGCCGCATTGCTGAAACCGACCACAACTTAGTAATTATTCAAGTTTCAATTCGATGCAGAAGCGTTAAATTCGTTCATTTGAAATATTCAAATTGGTCTTAATTTTCGACATGCTTATACACCGCGGGGAATCACCTAATTTCTATTTAAAAGTAGATGAATTTATCTATACAGGGTGTTTTTTAATAATATGCTAATACTGATGGGGGTGTTTCTTGGAGCTATTTTAAGAAAACAACTTAATATGATAATATGTCCTAAACCTAAAATTTATTATTACCTAATTTCAAAATAGTCAAGAAATTGGTTTTAAATTGAACGGGGCCTCCAAAAATATTTTTTATTTCAAGAGAAAGCAGAGGCGTACCACTTTTTTACTCTCAAAAAGATTTGGCCCGAATCCAGAACGGACGCCACTGTTGGGCATAAAAATATTTTTAAGGTAAAAAATGCTCTATAATGCATAAACGCCGTACACCAAAATTAATAAAAATATTTAAAGTGGTATGGAAATGACAATAAAAAATTATTTTTTTTTCTTAAAACTTCTTAACACCCTATTATCTCAAAAGTTTCTTATGACATAGGTTCATAATAAGTTTTTTCCTTAAAATGGGCCCGAGAATCACCCCTTCAGTATTATCATGTTATTAAAAAAACACCCTGTATACCTAATTGTTCAATAAAGACCTTACATACTGTATAGTGATTCATATAAAATAACATATTCCTCGTTCTTTAATCAAACACAGAATTAAAATTTCATCCAGCCGACTTCGAACATCAAACAAACGTTCCGGATTCCCCGGAATAAATCGGATCGCTCCGGTATTAGCAATTAGAACCCGGCCGGGCCGAAAAAAAAAAAAATCACGATATCAATAAAATAACGAAGGCGTTCAAAAACCGTCTGTTAAGGGGCCCGGGGGCGTCAGAGTGGGGTAGGGGGTCGTGACCTTGCCGTCGTCCGGGCAACGAGACGCTACTCGCCCCTGCGCCGCTCGCCCCCTCCGTCTACCCCCCGGGCTCTCACGACGACGTTGTCTTTCATCCAGGGAAAAATATGTATACCAATTTATTTTGTATTGAATAAAACCGAGTGAGTTGGCATAGGCCCGGATAGAGCGAGCTGCCTAAATTACTCAAAAATTTCCCTCCAACATCGAGTGGAGAGGAATGATTTAATATTATTTTTTGGGGGGAAGAAGGGTAAGCTCAAGGAATTGAAACTGGAACAAATAAATCTCCTAATTAACTTGGCGTATCTTTCGAAAATCTGGAAATCGAGACAGCCTGAGTTATTCCTCAAAATTTTTCGATTCAGTTGATAGCGAGTATTACATTTTTTTTTGGAATTATTTTCGCGCTTTTCGCTCGAATTGCTTCATTCTGGAATGTCTGGCTCACCCACATCCATGCATTACATTCAATAAAAACTGTTCCAATTTCTCAGAGCAAACGATCCCAATGCCAAGTCCAGCCGATTGCGAGATATGGAAGGTGTAATTTATGGAAAAGACGATCTGACGTCGGGACGCATCGCATGCAAAAGGGACGCCTTTAATTTAGTAGAAGCGATAATGTGCAAAAATTTTGTTTATTTGTAAACTCCATTGAAATTACTCTAATGTCAGAAGAATTAAAGAAGAAATATTTATACTATAACACTTAGATGTTTTATAATGAAACATAAAGGAACCGTTTATGTTAATAATTATTACTTGTTACTTGTTAATCTTTTCTTAATTGCTCGTAATATTTTAGCTTTTTTTATCAATTAAAAACACCCATCTTTAAAGATACCCTTATAAAAGTTATCATCCAATACGCTTCACCATGCACAACTTATTAACTTATGACTAATATAATATAATATTCTTGGTTGTTTGGCAATTGAAAAGTTTCTTGGAAGTTCAGTGTTTGATTGTATCGCTCGCGCTACGTGTGGTTTTCCAGTTGAACGGGACATTCAAAGGACAGGGTCTTTTATAGCGTGTGAGAAAATAGAACTTGTTGCGTAGATAATTACTAACTGAGTTTCGAGTTTGAGCGAATTCCCTCAGGAGATGTAGAGGTGAGCGGTCTTTCTTTTGCAGGAAGCAAATCGATGCGTCCGTTGATGTCCAATGGGAAATCGAATAAAATTTACTATACAAAGTAACAATTAATGGAAAATAGGTAAAATAACAGGTAGGATAATAAAGATGATGAGCTATATGCGGTTTACAATTATGTTGCACTGGAATTTGTTGAACTAATTTCATAAAGGTTGATTAGCTAGAGTATTTTTATGATTTTTACTTCTATTTCGAACTTAAAAAAACGTGTAACGTAATTGAGGTGAAATACAAGACGTTACCTATAGGTAATTGAAAAATAATATGCAAAATGTAAGAACAGTCTTTTGATCACCGAGAGCTCATCATCATTTCACGAGATAAAAAATCTGGAACAAACAGTAAACAAGGCAAAAAAGATGCTTCCATTTAGCAAATATATGAAAAAACCGCAGTGCTCTGATATCGATAAAAGCGTACAACCGCAGTCAAAAGTAGTGTTGGAGATTTTCCACGCTAGGAATATTCTTTCGCAAAAATCGCGTAGAATTTTTATCAAAATATATGAATTTACTGTGAACTTTAAATGTTGTTTATTGTAGCCTGAGAAAATAAATGAATACTTTATTTACATAATTTAAACTAATTTAATATTACTACATTGTTTCTATAAAAAGAGGATTACTTAAGTCAGTGTGATGATGGAGTATACAACCTTCGGTCTATAAAATTTATCACTTAGTATAAAAGATGGCATTATTAGTTATTGTACTATTTGAACCGGTTATTATACCAATTAGAGCAATATATTGCTCCAAAAGTACCAAAATTCTAAGTGAAAATAAACTGAATAAATATATAACATATACAAAATTAAGAAGCTTAGTGTTTTAGAAACATTTAATCCGTGTAGAAAAGTTTTTAAAGTACACAGTTACATTGTTTTTGTTCGATAGCCGGCGTTGTAAAAGATGCAAGAAAAGTATCAACTTTTGAGCGAGAGTGTAGGCGTCGTCTCTCCGTACAGAGCCCGTACGCCTCCGCTGCGCGCTTTCTCTTTCTCTCTGCCGCCGCCGCCGCCTCCGCTCGGGGCGCGTTCTCTCTCGCTCCGTCCTCCGCTACGCGAAAAAAAACCCGAACGACGAAAAAAACCAAGAAAAAACGTAATCTTTTTTTTCGCCTGGCGCAAGCGTACCGGCGAAAAAATGCCGGCCCCGCTCGCCCTCCCGCCCGCCTCCGCTATTGATTTTCGCCGTTCGGGGGCGCCGTTAACGAACCGCCGTCTCCTTCTCGTCTAGTCCTGCCAGCCGTGCCTGACCTGAGTTACGCCGAACATCCTTCGGCAGGACACATCATCATCGATCTTCATCCTGCGGCCGGGGATTTTTTCCGACGCCGGCGACGCCGCCGACGACGGCACGTCGGCTGGGCCGTTTCGAGGCCTTCGACGGGGCCCGTCGCCCGTTGCCTTGCCCGTTTGCTCGCTCGTTCGTTCGTTCCCTCGTTCGCCACAAGGATAATGTCAAGGATAGATTCGCTACTTTGTGTATACTAATAATGTATATCTAGATTAATCCATTCTTTCTGTTGTTTGCATAAACACTCCTTAATATACACTCTTACTACTATTAGATACTACACCTTTTCCAGTTGTATTTCAGAAAGCGTCAATTGAATTTATGAATAGTCACTTATATTTCGGAAAGTATCTGTTGTATTTCAGAATAGTCAATTTGATTTCAGAAATCATCAATTGAATTTCAGAATAGTCAATTTGATTTCAGAAATCATCAATTGAATTTCAGAATAGTCATTTGATTTCAAAAATCATCAATTGAATTTCAGAATAGTCATTTGATTTCAGAAATCATCAATTGAATTTCAGAATAGTCATTTGATTTCAAAAATCATCAATTGAATTTCAGAATAGTCAATTTGATTTCAGAAATCATCAATTGAATTTCAGAATAGTCATTTGATTTCAGAAATCATCAATTGAATTTCAGAATAGTCAATTTGATTTCAGAAATCATCAATTGAATTTCAGAATAGTCATTTGATTTCAAAAATCATCAATTGAATTTCAGAATAGTCAATTTGATTTCAGAAATCATCAATTGAATTTCAGAATAGTCATTTGATTTCAGAAATCATCAATTGAATTTCAGAATAGTCAATTTGATTTCAGAAATCATCAATTGAATTTCAGAATAGTCAATTTGATTTCAAAAATCATCAATTGAATTTCAGAATAGTCAATTTGATTTCAAAAATCATCAATTGAATTTCAGAATAGTCGATTTGATTTCAGAAATCATCAATTGAATTTCAGAATAGTCATTTGATTTCAGAAATCATCAATTGAATTTCAGAATAGTCAATTTGATTTCAGAAATCGTCAATTGAATTTCAGAATAGTCAATTTGATTTCAAAAATCATCAATTGAATTTCAGAATAGTCAATTTGATTTCAGAAATCATCAATTGAATTTCAGAATAGTCATTTGATTTCAGAAATCATCAATTGAATTTCAGAATAGTCAATTTGATTTCAGAAATCATCAATTGAATTTCAGAATAGTCATTTGATTTCAAAAATCATCAATTGAATTCCAGAATAGTCATTTGATTTCAGAAATCATCAATTGAATTTCAGAATAGTCAATTTGATTTCAAAAATCATCAATTGAATTTCAGAATAGTCAATTTGATTTCAAAAATCATCAATTGAATTTCAGAATAGTCGATTTGATTTCAGAAATCATCAATTGAATTTCAGAATAGTCATTTGATTTCAGAAATCATCAATTGAATTTCAGAATAGTCAATTTGATTTCAGAAATCATCAATTGAATTTCAGAATAGTCAATCGTATTTAAGAAATTATCATTTGTGTTTCGGAAAGAGTCATTCGTATTTCGGAAATCGTCAAAAGAATTTCAGAGTCCCATTT